ATAATATAATGAAATATAATATAAAAACACAATGCAGCCAACAACTAAGGATTGAAAATATTAGTCTTGCAATAAATTGCTACGTCCTAGCGTTTGGTGTAAAAGTCGTTGCAGTGTTCATGTGGTGTCCTGTGTCTAACAAACGGTCATGATCCGAGTCTGATGGTGCTTCGAAACCTCACGCATAGGTTAAAGTAATGGAGCGGCCTGTGATGAAATACAATACATGTCCTTAAACTGGACATATCAGAAACGGGTCCTGTGATTGGTTGGTATATGCCGCGCACGGTTTGAGAAAAAAATGACGGGGTCATTTCCCTGTCGTGTGGCGTGAGCGGACAACTAGAAACAGCCACTAACACGTGACTGTGTACCGTCAAGTGTCTAGATAAGCTGAGTAGTGCCACTACGCCCCACAGCATCTGATTCGCTTGGCTTTTTGGAGAAGCTTGGCGTTTTGTGTCAAGCTCTTTTTCAGTGGATTTCGATCGATTTCACTCCATAGCATTCTGCTGCCAACACCGATTTCATTCACCTCGTCGTGCTTGTAAGTAGGCTCAGTATCAGAAATGACTTGCTTTGATTGGGTCATTCTCGAGTCTGGTTTTACAAAACAGTTGAATTTCTCAATCCATATTCCTAGTAGGAACCGCGACGGTTAGGAAAACGCCAATTCGTCCGGAGCTAACAATCATAATCTGTAAAGCCTGTGTTTGAACTGAGCGTCCTCGACGTGTGTGGCTATCGTTGTGCTGTCCAAAGGTGTGCTGCGTCATTTATTTGTTTATCGAACAACTGTCTTGTTTATATTCACCTACTTTTCGTCTTCATTATTGGGCTGCATATATTTGTATTCCCATCTGCTTGCAAGTGAAGTTACATTCGAGGTTAGTCCATAGTTTTGTTCACTTTGTTCTTTTTAACATGTTATTAGACTTCGTTCATTAATTGTCTCGCGACTTTGCTATCCAAATGGTGATCGCAACTGTTTCGAATACGCGTGAAGTCGGTGGTTGTTGCGCGTGCAGAACCCATAATGAAGATATATTTAGGTTGAGCCAAGTGCGTCATCCCGACGTAGTTAGGCTCGGTTATTTTGCCGACTTTCCAAGCATCCTGTGTCCGACAAAAGAGGAATGTGTACTGTGCACGTACTTCTCCACACCGGATAGCTGATATACGTTGCGAGCGGTAGCCAACTAATCGATATATTCCTGCGAGTCGTGGGTTGCCACGAGGATCATGTTACATCACTTCTACAGCAAACGTTAGCCTCAGGTTTTACTGAAAGAAGGAAGTCCTGGCACGCACCACCCTCCTTAAACTCAGTAACCAGGGGAAGGGAAGCCAAACAAGCTTGCTGGATTTAATAGATTCCAAGTAAAAAAACAGTCGCCCACAAGACATAAATCTCCAATGAAATGTCATCGAGAAGGTAAGTGTTACTTCAGTGTCACTGTTTATGGAACGCGGATGAAACAGTCTTCAAGGTAACACATCCTCAAGGAAAGGACGTGTTTGGTCACTAAACAAATCAGGCGGATAAAAGAGCATTGGGGTACTTGAAACCGCAAATAGTTTGATTAGGAGAGTGTTTTAAGGCCTCCTAATGCGAATAACAATCCACAAACTAGTGAGGAATGTTCTATGCTCTTTGTATTTCAGTCCAGTCTCCAGGTGATTCATAGCTAGTCGAATATGCATTCGAGTTTTGTCACCAAGTGATCATTGTTATACTGGGAAAATTAAACTTTCAAACAATTCCAGCCTTCCTGAACTTTCCAGCTTCCATTCGAAACGTAATCACGAAGTTACCAGTGAAAATTATTCGACCCACATAGTATATAGTTTCATGTTCGGCAACGATGAGAGCGAGTCATACTATACTATCTAATCCAGTGACGTGAGTTGCTTATAACGCCAATCTCGGTCTAAAGTTGTTTGCTTCGTAAATGAGATATTGGTCAAACTTTTAAACATGCACAAGACACCCCACTTTTGGAAATGCCTCTCGTTGACACCAGCGTAAGTTGCAGATGAGTGTAGTTCACCATTTGCGCACAATTTGGTGCTCAAGTAGAATAGAAAGTTGACGGAAACTCGGGGACCCACGTCTACCCTGTGAGAGACCAAGAAAGGTCTGACCGATATTAAGTTGCGGAATGGTTTTCAGCAACCTTATGAGTAGTATGTTCTGTCAGGAGTAGTAGGAAATGTCAAGTTTGTTGAATTGATCACCCATTTGATTTTGCTATATGATGAGTGATATTGGTGAGTATTTGTCTCAGCTCTACTGGTCAGATGTTTGTTTTGATCTACGTAAGTCATTCTGGCAGCGTGTTAGGTTGTGCTGAGCATCCAGATGAAACCCCATACGAACGGTGAATTCACATTACTTTATTATGTTACTAATGGATGTTCTGACCGTGGAGAGACGGTGGACAGATGGACAGGTCGAATACTATAAAGGTAACGGCTCACCTATCTGACCTCATCAATAGTAGGATAGTGTTCCGCTAGTTTCTGATCGAGAACCTGTGGGGCATACCACCACGCCGTTTGAAGGCATACGAATCCAAAGCTGAGTGTGTGGCTATCCTGCAACGGTTACGGAGAATTTCTATGGCAAAGTGTCATCCCAGTAAACTACAAAAGTTCCAAAGAATGGAACGGCCAGTGGTGAGTCTCCACATGCGATTATACCTTTGGACATTCATCGTGACCGTATTTTTTAGCTTTCTGTTTATATCATATCGGTTCCTTCCGTTATTTTCTTCGGACAAATTCTGGGTATTGTTTCCAGAGAGAACTCCTGAACTTCTGATGAAAGGTAGTTAGTGCATCTACATGGGTGTTTCCAAACAATTGTGGTGAGATATAAACATTGTAGGGGAAGAGCACTTTAGCCGTTTTCCTTAAAGGGACCACGCCTAAATAAGGTCAGCATAGAATTTCGTACACAAGTAAAAAGTAAAAGTATAGAGAGTAAAATCTAATGCACCTTTTGGTGCTTCAATCTACGATGGAACAATAAATGGTTTAGTGAAAATATACAAGAATGGCCCCGCGAATATGAAGCGATAATACGGCGGTTCGTCCTAAATAGCACGACTTGGGAATATAGCCATTTTACGAAGAACCTTTGTTTAAGACAACTCTGTGGAGGTCCGGTTGGTCCGGTCTAACTCATCCATGAGTGGTCTCCCTGAATGCAAGCAGTCTGAGCTGTACGACGAGGCTTATCTTACCTGTGAAGATTCACGCAAAAGAGGCTGTCTCCGGGTTATTTCATTTGGCCGAGGGAACCATAGAAGAAAGTCTTATTTTCTACGAAGTGTCACCTGGCCAATACCGTACAAATGCATATGATGTTGGACAAAAACCACATAAACGGTAACTGGTATTCACGGGTGCGACGCATGGGGAAGGTTGGGCACACCATTCATTGCGGCGGCTGTAACCACCCGTAAATGTCTACTGATGAGTAGTTGGGATTATCAGCCATTTGTCACGTGGTCCGGTTTGAGTGCAGATGGCCTGATGATCACCTGACCCGACTACAGCTGTTGAGCCGTCTTGAGAAAGCAGATATAGCGTCATGGTTACTACTACGCCAATGGGAAAAGATGGAAACTTCGTCCTAGAAGAGATCACTCAACCCTGAGATTAGTATGTACTACTTCCTGACTATGATGTGAACAAAACAGCGATTGTTTCGGTAAACAGCCACTGAAAATTGGAGTTGTTCAACACGTCTTGCCGACTCATCATAATGTGTCTCATCCTATGCGCAAAAAAAACATTAGTTACCCCTGTAGTTTCATTTCAGCTGACTTGGACGATAGTCCACATTGTAGCAATCTGCTGGAAAGCGCTGCATTTGGTCTCTTTACGTTACCCCGATGTCGCTCACTTTTTCGTGTCTGCTTTTTGTCCTCGAAAACCATATGGATAGCGGCTTGCACCAGACGAAGAGACAACTTGCCGTGTTGCCTGAGCGACCGAGATAGACCAGTCACCAATGCTGTCCTAAAGCTCTTCCACGCCTTCTCACATGACCGTAAGGATCACATGACTGGGGTGATAGACGCATGACGGCTTTGCCACACACCTCACAATCAGGCTTGAGCGCATGCGGCAAACAAGAGATGGAGTGTGAGGTCGAAAATGGGGTACGAGAAGGTAAAGGACAGTCGTCCTGTAATCAGAGCGGAAAACACGAGGCAAAGTTCTCAACCTAGACCGCAGCTGAACTCGATAATGCCTGCATTTTCATTGCGTGGCAAACGTAACTTGTTCGGTCATGATCGATTTCGCCCACGTGAACTGAGAGCAGTAGCGAACGGAAAAGCGCGCGTCTGATTTGGAAATGAGAACTGTTCAACGCGGTAACAATAATCGGCGTGCCGTTCGCGTTGTGCAGGTTGTTTGTTATGAGGCGAGGAGACGTAGTCAGACAACCTGAGCATAGGTATTTGACATGTTTACTAAATACAGACCAGATACATGTCTTTAAGTTATGAAATTGTGAACAGAAAGTAGTCCCATGATGCAGCCCAAGGTTTATTCTGTGTGACCTTTCGTTTCTCCATCTGCGGACACGTGACCAATGGACGACCGCAATTTATCGAGACTACGAACTAAAACCGAATTTTTGTCCATTACAATCTGTCATACTTCCAAAAGTCCCATCCCTGGAGAACGAATTTCCCCCCAAAAAAAGCGACAGCAGCTATCGATTTCGTTTAAGTTGGCCCTGTTAACAGAAATTCATGAGAATTCAGATGTTCTATTTGCCTTTGTGAAATCTGAGATTTCGTTTTGTTGTATACTTTGGTTTACGTGCCAGATTACGCGAAATCGGGGCTCTTGTGGGTGGATTCTATGTTTGCTAAACAGTACCAGAAATCGGGGCTCTTGTGGGTGGATTCTATGATTCCTAAAAGGACTAAAATTGGTCGGTATTGTGGACCAAACAGTACCTAGTAAATATGAAAGATATGAGAATTTTCAGCAAAGGTTTCGTCCACCAAGTGAAGCCAATCTATGCTGAAAGCTAAGAAACATTGTCTAGCAGTTTCATCCTTGTCATATCACTAAACTCCAGGCGATTTCGAACCCCCGACTTCTCGTTGAGTAGTTGAAGACTGAGGTTTTCACCAGTGCGTTTGGCTCTCACTTCGACAAAACAGCATCACCCATCTTTGTAATGTACTACTCTTGAGGTTGCTGAAAATCCGTCGACATCCCACGACCGGTTTCGCCCTTTTTAGGGCTCATCNGCGCAGTCCCCGGGTTTCCGTCAACCGCATGTTCTACTTGAAATCAAATTGCACGAAATTAGCGAATATACACTCATTTGCAGGTGAGTCTCCCGAAAAACCAAATTAGTTTGCAAATGAGCATCACCCATCCTCACTCCCAGAATTCACATCTTGTGGTCACGTGTTGACTGGATCCTCGAGTGATGACTTCTCAGATGAGAGTTACTCTTTGGCCATGTGACTTATTCTGTCTACTGAGTTACTTGAGAATCTTTGAGAATGTCCTATTTGTGTTCAGCCATTGTAATGTACTTTAAAAGCTCTGCCGTTACATCAAAAGTTTACCTGAAAGGTTTGCTTGTGGGAATTCAAAGAGCGTACTAACTTACTTTTCAACTTCTCAAGCTTGTCTCGAGCGTTTTGGACGGCGTTCCAGCTGACATTTTGCGCTTTGGTAACTCGATCAAGCAACATCTGAAGTTGTTTGAACTGTGGTTCGACGTTTTTGAACCGGGCCTGCTGTTCATTCATAGCCTGACGAAGTTGATGGTTCATTTGGCGGAATCGATCCACCGTGTTCTCCAGTTCTGCGGCGGTTTGATTCATTTTAGCCTGGAGCTGTTTGGACTGTTTTTGTTGGGTGAACGATTGTGAGCGGGTGATTCAGTTTGAGTGGATGTTTGGGAGTAAATCAGGGAAGTTACGAATAGATTAATTAAAAAAACGAAAACGCGATGGCGTTTATGTGAGTTTTCTCCAGACTAATCTATTGGTGTTACTAAACCAGGAAACATTACCGTTTGCAGTATTTATAGAGTACACATTCACATTACTCTCGTTTGGACGGTTCCTCTCACGCGCTGATGCATTCAATCTGACGAGTCCACACCAAAGACGGAAGCGTTGGATTCGAGTTTCATTTCAAGTTGTCAGGCAAACTAATAACATCACTCATGCGACAACACTTTCGTCTGCTCAGAAGTACAGAGTCCAAAGTGCGCTGGTTGAGCAGTCGTAACATCTTGTCTTCGAATGTTAAATGTCTACAGTTCAGACCCCGGCACTGCATTACTCAAGAGCTGCATATGAGCTTCCATTATTTTCATAGGGGAAACTACTCACAAGGTTCCTGAAAACTCTTCAGCAACTTTGTGAGTGGTTTCCTTTATGAAAATATACTGCGATATTTCGAATATCGTGCCAACTGAAACACGAGGCGACCTGTGTGCAGCACTCTCAGTTGAGTCTCGTAAAAACCAAATTGATGTGCAAATGAGTGTATTTCTCGAGAAAAGCCTTCCCTTACTCATTAGGACAGAAAGTGATTTGGAAATGAGTGTATTTCTCGAGAAAAGCTTCCCTTATTCATTAGGACAGAAAGAGTACTACTCGGAATAGATTGGTGTAAACTTGAAAATACATGCTTATTCACATGTTTTTCAACTTGTTTCATATTGTGTCTGTTGTACAAGCAAGCCCGGGGTCCCCGTGCCCAGCTGAACTGAATATATTAACAAGCACTGTCACCTACATCAAGGCTCTATTCACTACAGATTTGCCGTGTATGTAGTCTGCTCCGGAACATGTACTACACAGCACCAACTTGGTTGTTCGTTTCACATTCATTCGGAACTTATAAAGTAGTCTGGTTCCTTTTTCCGTAGAAAAAAGTGCTGGGCATCAGATCAACTTGTGGGTTCTGTGTGAGAACCACTTTCTGCATTCTATGTGTGGTCATGCCCCTTCGGCCGAGCAAGATTTCAGAAGGAAACACACAAAATTATTGAGGATCTCCGTGGAAATCTCTTCGAGTTCTGTAGGAACGCCCAAGATTGCGTGCGCACACGCTTCAAGTTGAGGTTGAACCTTGTTTTAATGAACTCAGACCGCAACTTACCATAGCAAAATTTGTAGAAATGATGTTTTGATGAAGAGGTCAGCAATTGATGTGACCGTCAGGGAAGCGATAAAAACAACTTGTTTGCTCGTGTTTTCTTATACACCATAATCTACATAAATAACGCTGTGCGTTCTTTATGAGTCAAGTAGGGCTACAGATGATCCATGGCAATCAATACTGTGCAGATGTAGTGCGCTACTCACAAGGTTGCTGAAAACCCTTCAACAGTCCACGACTGGTTTCGCCCTTCTTGGGGCTCAACATTCAGTTGAAGAAGAACATCATAAACATGACATTCAGTTGGGTCTTCCGTGAAAACCAAATGGGCATACCAATGAGTGCATTTTACTAATCAGTGCTGTACTTTATACTGGAATGAAAAGTAGTGTGATTAACTTCGACAGGATACTTAAAGGACGACATCTTCATCGGGAGACTAATTTGTATCGGAGAGTCTGGTGTAATAATGAAAGAACGATGGTGTTCACACGCAGCACAAGGCAATATGCCTTTTACTACTTTCCAGTTGGTAAAACGGACAAGTTTGTTTTGTTATACTGGCAGATTTGGTCGACCACAACGTACAATAACCTCGAGGACGACAACCCTGTCCGTAATATAACGATATAAGCAGTTTAACTTGCCCAGTTTGTAAAACATTCCTCTGATTGATTTCTCGTCGTCAGATCTCATCCAACCCTTCGCTGGGTCGAGAAGTAAGCATCGTGCAGCTTGTGAAATTAGTTTAGCTTGAGTGACGATCGATGCATATGCTGTATGTGGTGCTAGGCAGCCATCCACGCTAGGTGCTTAAGCACTGTCACTCAGTCTACTATGCTCATCGGAGTACTTCTTTGCTAATAGATGAAATGCTGCTAACATGTGTTCTTGTCTCATTACTCGAGTCGCGATGCGACTTCTTCTCCAGTCAGGGAGCAAGCTCTCCTCTGCTTGATTAGCCGTTGTCCGGCCATCTTTTCTGACCCAATTACACTGTTTCACAGCTGATCTAAATGTGATTATGACCTCGACATGCCATCGAGTTTGAGGACAAATCACCTTTCACAGCTGACCTACTGCTGTGTTAGGGAAAGCAAGGGTGATGACACAGGCAAATCAAAAGGCATTGTACAGTTAGGAGCCTCAGGCAGGTTTCTTCTTGAGGAATTGACGCTCATTCGCCGGCTAGCTACTTATTGTGATGAAATAAACTACCGCCACCGCACACCTCACATGACAGAGCGCTGTTATTATCAGTGCGGCTAAAAAGGGGTTCTTCGATATGACAAGCCGGTTTCAGAGCACGGATTGCCTTACTTAGGCCTGGAAGACGTTGAAATCGATTGACTCAAAGCCTCGGGACAAGATATAAAGAAACCACGACAAAACATCTAGATGGGGGTAACTAACGTTTGAGAGGGGTACCGCTCTGACAGAGTACAGCCAAACGTTTTGCCCAAAGACATCACCTTAGGTCGCACGAGCAAATCAGTGATATATGCTTCGGGAATACAGCATCTCCAAGTAAAGGGGGTACTCCAATGAAGAGTTATCTTAGGTTACTGAAGAAAAGACGACGTCCACATGTGCTGGTGCCCGAGTATGAAAGGACACAATAACCGACTCTTCTGCGGTGATTCGAAATATGTGTAGTTGGACTAATCAGAAACGCTTACCGTATTCTTTGCCTCTTCCCAGCGAGCCATCACCCCCTCGAGTAGCCGAACCTCCTTGCGCAAATCTGGGATGTTTTCAATCTTGGACTTGGTTTGATACACCAGATCACTAGCTTTCTTTAGCTGTTCATTGGTTGCGTCAATGTTTTTGGTTAATTCATTGTGTTTTGCGGTGAATGTTTCACTCCTTGGGGAAGAAATAATGAAATCTTATGGAAGATTAATCAGATGAGAGTTGCCTAGGAAAATCTATTTTAAGAGGTTTGTCATGGGGACAGCTGCTCACGAATATCCGTACACTTAGTGTAAAAAATCGTTCAGCTGTAGCACCCAATCGGTGCCTAGCTGCAATGCCACCAGAAGGAATCACGAGGGTAGGGATACGGCAGTATCGGAATAAAGAGTGCATAGATGACTCTCAGAAGTTTAACCCTCTAACGAGCTTCATTTACAACAAAAAATATCGTAAGAAGCAATTTGTGTACTCCACTAAGAGAAGCATTTGGGCGGAGACCATTTTGCATTTCTAATCGGTGCCGTTAAATTGACAAGTGTTTGAGAACAACAACCTTAACTGAACCGATTGAAATTCATCAGACTGACTGATAACATTGTCACACTGTGTGAGTGGCGGAGAAAAACCACTGTCATCCTCTTCACCCAATGAAACCACACAAATAGATACAGGCTACTCTCATAGGAACTATTTATTCAATTATACAAAAAGGTTAGTGGCCACCAGCTGTTTGCACTGCCTTCCTAGAAGAAAAAATGAGCAAATTCTTTATGTCAAGGGCTAGGCACCTTTCTGTCCGAAGGCGAGCCAGCTATTGATCAACAAAAGGCATCCCCTGATTGGTGGGAGTGTGGACCAATCAGGATCAAGCATTTGCATCTCGGCGCATCCCGTCACATTAAGAAGATTCTAGCACAGCCTTGTGGAGACTTGTGTGATCCCCCTATAACTAAGGTTATAACAAGCTTACTTTGTTCCCTTTAAGAGGCCGTCTTAAATTACGGCGCCTTTTGATACACCGTAGTGTGTATAATATGAAGTAAAGGGCCGACGTAGCCGTTGCAATACTGTTTGTAGGACATCACACTTTCCCCCGTTTTTTAACCAGTGACAGCTCCTTGTGAGAAAACTGCTGTGCACTCAGGATGTCTAATCTCTTGATCCATCATTCCTATAAAGAAATTCGCACGTATAAAAAACAGTCCGCCTATCCGCTGGGGATCACCTTTGTTCTCAAAGGATTTAAAAACAAGGCAGCTATTTACCCGAAAGCTATCACCGCTATGGGAAAATGCGCATCAAATGTTGGGTCAAAGAACACCTTTAGAGCACACTCAGATAGGTGACGGCTCATTCTGACTTGCTAAACGCATTGTGATCTGTTTTCAACCCTATTGATCAAAATGACAACAACGTACTGTTACATACATTCTCTGTTCATCTCTATGAGGAAGGTCGGATTCCTGAAAGCAACCTCAGAACGCCCGGAACCTACTGCTCCACCAAAA